TCGAAAAATCATGGTTCTCTGGTAGGCGGTATTTCTCGCGGCTTGGCCGCTCGTGACGGCTCCGCCGTCAAATCTCACTCGACTGTATTACAACGGCTCCGCCGCCAAATCTCACTCAACTACTACACAATACCGCCAGCTACGCATTTGAATGCAATTTGATACCGGCTACAAGTTACAGAAGCGACAAACGGGTTCGGCTTTTCAAATATTCAATTCATGAATGGAATCTTGACCTGGTTTGACTGTAATTCCTCCTTCAGAAATCTGCGAATTATCCTGAGCGATCTTCGCTTTCACAACACCTTTCAGTTCGTGAAATATGGTGCTTCAGGGTAATTTTCTCTTTCACTGCTTTCGGCACAGAACGAAGTCAACGAGCTTTATTAACCGGGTGTCTGTAAAACGAGGACCGGATACCTGCGGATGGCGGATGCGGATGGGAAAATGCGGATAGAAAAATGCGGATGGAAAAAAAAAATGCGGATAACAAAAAAAGTAAGAAGAAAAAAAAACGAGAAATGCGGATAACAGAAAAAAAAACAAAAACAAACAAACAAGCAAAGGAAAGAAATCTTTCTTTCAAGTAGCTGTCACATGGTTGGACCCTTCACTTACATACAGAACGTGATGCCAATAGTTGGCACAGTTTTTTACCCTGTAATTCCTTTCATTAATGTCACAGAAATAAGGACGCTCCATTCCTCCTCCTTAAATGCACGCATACTTAGTACACTTCTCCTTTGAGTGTTTAGCTTAAGACTTGTAGGCAAGGTAAACAGCTCAAAAAATCGGCTAGCAAAGGTTTGCTTATTTTGCATTGGCCCCGTTTAATATTCTTTTCTTTACCCAATAAGGAGCCAGTGGTCCCTGCAATCACGGGTCAGAATGCAGAATATTACCAGACCAGCGGTGTAATTCACGAAGAGTCTGTCTTCACTTTCGGGAGTGATCGCTATTTTTTTAAACATTACTTTATTCGGAATTTCATGGTTATCACGCTAAGAGGGGAAGGCATGGGTGTTAGTACTTGCAAAACAAACGACAAACAATTTTTAATATAAAATCATTCTGACATGGAGTTCTGATTTCTTTGCTCTCAATGAATATAGTGTACTCAACTTACAGAAAGAATATTCTCAGGGCAATCAAATCAAGACTTATTTGTTTGAGCGGCTCAAGACGGAAAAAAATGCAGCATCAACCCGACTAGAAAAAGGCCGAACGTCAAAACGTAACTTTTAGATTTGGCAGATGCCAATCAACTCCGCCTATCATGTAAACTTATTTTTTACAAGTTCTGCCCTTTGGGAATTTATAAGTGCACGAATAATGAGTTCGAATTTTTAAAATTGCAAAATACACTGCAAATTGAAAAGAAAAAACAGACTTCTTGATCAATCGCAAAAGTTATTTCCCGAAATGGTGTAAAAGAAAAATCACCTAATCTGCAAAATTAAACTCCCGCAAAAAAGTGTCACTTGGAAACGCATTAATGAAGGCTACTTTCTGTTTCATTTGTTTTTGTTTCTAATTTTTCTGCTAGCAAAATAGTTTCCAAAACATATCCTCAGTGAGTTTTTGGTTTTTAAAAGCGTGAAGGGTAGAATTCGGAATCGAAAATAATTTATATAATATTCGAATTATTTGGCCCGCTCCCGTCTATCTGCGAAACAGCAACCAAACATACTTTTCTACATGGAAAGATAGGCAGGTATCCAGTCCTCGTTTTGCGGACACCTCCTTTGCTAGCCGATTTTTTGAGCTGTTTACCTTGCCTGCAAGCCTTATATTTAAAGCTAAACACTCAAAGGAGAACTGCACCAAGTATGTGTGCATTTAAGGAGGAGGAACGGAGCGTCCTTATTTCTGTGACATTAATGAAAGGAATTACAGGGTACAAAACTGTGCCAGCTATTGGCATCACGTTCTGTATGTAAGTGAAGGGTCCAACCATGACAGCGACTTGAAAGAAAGATTTCTTTCCTTTGTTTGTTTGTTTATTTTTATTTTTATTTTTTTTGCCGTCCGCATTTTTTTCCATCCGCATTTTTCTATCCGCATTTTCCCATCCGCATCCGCCATCCGCAGATATCCGGTCCGCGTTTTACAGACACCCTTATTAACCAGTAAACTTTTTATTATTTGTAGCTGTTAAATAAAGGTATGGCAGCTCCGATCAGGCTAGCAGTATTTCATCACAAAAACAACACATTTAAATTTTTTTTAGGAATCGAAGCGCCATCTGAACATGGACGTACTTAAAAATTTTCTTTTCCCTAAAACTGATTTCAAAAGAGACATTATTTGCGCCAAAATTTGATTCCTGTATGGTAACCGCTTATTGGCTAATAACATGACAGGTCACGCAGACGTTAGACTATGTAAATTAGGGGGCGGTTAACGGCTTGTTAAATGAATGTATACACCGTATTCACAAATGGCGGACACGCGGGAAAAAACTGGTGCCTAGTCATGAAAGCGAGGCGTTGGAGGATAAACAAAAATTGCAAATGAAGACTTTCAGTGAGCTTGCAGAGTGTTAAGCGCGGATTCCACCTAAAATAACTTTGTACGGACTTCTTTTTAAATACAATTACGTGGGATGTCTTCTGCTTTTAATGTTTAGTAGTGATTTTCTGTTTGCAATCAAAAGGGACGCGTATATCTTCAAGAAAACAGGATGATTTTGTAGGTTTCCGAAGCATCAGAAGCTCGACAAGTGGACTATGGCTGGAGAAAAGCGGCAAACATGTTGGCCCAAACTTCACATTGAAATCGAGTAGGAAAGCCAGATCACTACAATTCTGTAAAACGGAAATAAAAACAGATATTGGTGGCGAGAAAAAGAGAAATAAGCGACGGATATATGGCCTACTTGTTAACGGAAGAGACCTCCGCCATTACACAAAACAGGTCAAGTCGAGAGCGGGTGAAAGATTCATTCACAAAGCTCATTTATGCATGTCAGTGTCATTTTATACATATCTATGTTATATGTATGTCTGCATTTACAACTTCCTATGGATCATATTAATTCCGTCGCTTTGGATTGAATTGTTACTGAGGTACGTTGGCAGAGCTTAGTAAAAATCTCATGATTTCTTTGTCATTGCGAAATAATTAAAAATAACTTTATTAAAATTAGAAGCTGTAGTGTGTGAATCTTATGGCTTGCTATTTGCCTGGTCTCCTTTACGGCATTATGTCGGAGAGCTCTTGGTAAAAAAGTGGTATAAAGCTCACATTTTACTAGGTTAAACTTTTAAGGCAATGTTTGTGTCAGGACTGAACACGGCAAGCTTCTGTTTCGAATCATTAAATGCGAGTCTGGATCCGTTTAAGAAGACCATCATTTTATTTATTTATGTCTTCTTCACTTTTAAAATATTATGGAACATGAAGTTAAAACTCTTAACAGCCAAAGATAAGAAACAGGAAAATTACTCGCTGAAATGAAATGTGGCCGGCTTACCGAGTCTGCCGAGTAACATGTTGAAATTTTGAGCGTACTCCACTCGATCGCTCCTGCATTTATACTAAAAAAATAGTTCTAATTGATGTCCTTCATCGATAAAGACTAGAGAATAACGTCCTGGGCAAACAAAAACAAAACATAACTTCATCGAAACCTCAGTCACCTCTTCTTTCCTGTCTTCCTTTTTTCCATCTCGACTTGAACTCACCGTGTTTCAGTTCAACGGCAGACGTCTCTTGCGTTAACAAGTAGGCCATATATCTGTCGCTTATTTCTTTTTTTCTTGCCACCAAGATTTGTTTATATTTCTGTTTCACCGAATTGTAGTGATCTGGCTTTCGTACTCGGTTTCAATGTGAAGTTTGGGCCTACATGTTTGCCGCTTTTCTCCGGCGATCGTCCACTTGTCGAGCTTCATCATCCTGTTTTCTTGAAGATATACGCGTCCCTTTTGATTGCAAACAGAAAATCACTACTAAACATTAAAAGCAGAAGACATCCCACATAATTGTATTTAAAAAGAAGTCCGTACAAAGTTATTTCAGGTGGAATCCGCGCTTAACACTCTGCAAGTTCACTGAAAGTCTTCATTTGCAATTTTTGTTTATCCTCCAACGCCTCGCTTTCATGACTAGGCACCAGTTTTTTCCCGCGTGTCCGCCATTTGTGAATACGGTGTATCAGGCGTTATTTTTTTCCCTCTCGAGCCAAAGAAGCAAACCAAAAAAAAAAAAACGCCTGATCTCAGCTTACTGTGCTGGGCGATGTTCTCTCTGCTCCGGGGTTTCTTGTTGACGTCTTCTCCTTCGTTGTTCACGCTGAATTTGAAGTCGACGTTCTCGTTCCAGAGGAGTTTCGGTGGAAAATCTTCCTGGGCGAGGTTTTGCACCTGCAGTGCTTGTGTTTCATTTGCATGGGAAATTGTTCGTGATTCACCGATAGTAAACTTTGTTTCACAGACGATGAATAACCACATCAAAACCTTGGTCATCGGCGACAAAGTCTATGTTGCCTGGAAACGCAAAATGCTCCATGACGTCATTGGCTGACACCAAGAATATATATTCATGAAAAGATTTATGGCGCATCGAATTTTGCAGCTGGCTAAGACCACGCGCGGTTAGCAGACTACTCGCGCTTCGCGCGCGACGAGAGTATAAAGTCGCTACGCTCGGCGCTTCGCTCGGAACTAGTGGTCTATTATCAATGCTGCGTTCTGATTGGTTGAGCTACTACTACGCTATATATTATAGCCTGGTTATAGCCCACTAGTAGCGAAAAACGCCGGATTTTTGGCGGCAAAATGATTAAAGTCTTAGTTTAAGTTGTTTTGTCTCGATATTTTTGACCAACTAGTTGGATTTTACTAAAACAATTATCCCTCTCGCCCTCATGGCCTCTGAGTCAATAGCCCATTCGGGTAGTGGACTGAGACCCACGCCCCTCGCATAATTGATTGAAGGGGTTGTCCTGTGAACACCTTGTCCTGTGTCCTGTGGTAGAAAGATTTGCGTCGATCAAGATGGCTGGCGTGGTAAACGACAACTGGCAGACGGAATTGCCTAGTATTGAAGAAAGGACAATGTTTATCTTCAACAAAGAACTCATGAGCGATGTGAAGTTTGTTTTTACCGAGGCGAACGATGACGGAAGCAAGAAGGCAAAGCTGGCGATCCCAGCTCACAAGTTTGTTCTTGGTATCGGCAGTCCTGTGTTTTATGCCATGTTCTATGGTCCAATGGCGGAAACTACAGATTCCATTGAACTACCTGACTGTGATTATGAGAGTCTGCTAGAGTTGTTTCGCCATTTGTACGGCGATGAGGCAATTTTAAGCGAAAGCAATGTCATGCAAGTTTATTACTTAGCCAAGAAATACATGGTGCCTTCCCTTGTGGAAAGATGCACTGAACATATGAGAGAGAATGTGGAAGGATCAAATGTTTTTTCAGTGTTGCTGTTGGCTAAGAAATTTGAGGAAAAATCTTTGGAAGATCGCTGCTGGGGAGTGATAAAGACCGAAACAACAGAAGCTGTGATGTCAGAAGACTTTGTCACGCTAGAGCGATCTCTCGTCGAGTCTATTGTAAAAATGGAGAGGCTTTTTGTAAAAGAGGTCGAATTATTTAAGGCGGTTGATCTTTGGTCCACGAAAGAAATTGAAAGGCGTGGGTTGACCATAAATGTCAGTACAAAGAGGGAAGTTCTAGGAGAGGAAATTGTGAAAGCCATAAAGTTTCCACTGATGTCTCAGAAAGAGTTTATGTCTGTTGTCCCTGATTCTAACATACTGACAGTGAAAGAGGTTGTTGATATGATGAAACACTTCAGTGACATTACAGAAGTATCTCTACCATTCAATCAGTCTCCCCGATCTGGTCCGCATAAGCGCTGCCTTAGATTTAACATCACCAATGGCTCTGTCAGTACCAAGTCATTTAGCAAGCCAGCTGTCACTCAGAATATTCCTTTCATCATTAACAAAGGAATTTTTTTACATGGAGTACAGTTCTTTGGTAAATATGGTGGCAATTACATAGTTGATGTTAAGATTTTTGAAGGTACAGAATTTTTCAGTGACACCTGTCTGTTTACAAGGTGTGGAATACACATTTCACAAACTTACAAGGATGAGACATTCAGTTCTATTAGTTACTTTGATGTGCTATTCAATAATCCAGTCTGTTTAGAGGGTGGGAAAGAATACAGGATAGACGCAACCATAAATGGTCCCCCGGGAAACTACATAAACAGTAGTCATGAGGAGAAATTTGTTGAATGTGCTGGGGTTACTTTTACTTTTAAAAAAAGAGCAACAGGAAATCAAATTTCTTGCCAGTTCCCCGCATTAATTTTTAGCGTGTAAAATTAGACAAGAATTTGTGTATTTGTTTCTTAATTGATGGTATAAAATGTAACTGATAAATATAATTGCTGGGCTTTGAAGTGTTTATTAGACTGTTCACAGTCCTCTATTTTTTCATAAGATCGTCTAGATCGATTGCTTTGCGTTACGGGCAGCCATCTTGGATGAGTGTCAAAACTACTTAGGGGGCAGAGGCGGCTTGGGAGGAAGTGAGAAAAATAGAGGGACTGTAAAAACATCACTGCAGCTCGTGTTCAGTAGGCGTGACAGGAATTTCACGCCTTTTACCATTCATTAATTATTAAGAAACTCCGATGGCGATGATAAACATGACAGACACTTTTAGCACTGATTTAGCATCTTTACAAATATCGCCTTTCAAAAAGTGATCTTATACAGTTTCTGGGCCATTCCTCCAAATAAAATCGGCAAACATGCACAGGTGGAACATTTTCCTGATCGAAGCGCTAAGCGTGCTCACTTCATCACAAATTAAAACAGTTAAACCTCCCAATAAAAAGCCATGCATTTCTGACAGGTCGTCTTTTTTGCATCAGCGTAGCGTTAAATTTCAATCCGTTTGGCAGAAACTCTGTTACAACATTACCCCGGCTGGGCTGCTTCAAAAGCATGTTGGCTTACATGATTCACCTGCAAAATACCAAAAATCTTTTGTGTGTTTGCGCAAGATGTGCCGTTTGATAGAAACGATGACATGTCAGTGACTTGTCAGTGTCTGCAACTTAAACTAAAGCTGTTGTCAATGAAAATTACCATGTATTGTCTAATGACCAATCAAATGCCTGCATTGCTGGTACAATGCATTCCATGAACGCGAGCTGCGGCGATGTTATTACAGTCCCTCTATATTTCTCGCCTCCCCCTACCCCTAGAGCTATAATCCCTGACGCCCACCCCCTCGGTACATTAGAAAATCAAGATGGCCACCATTAACGGTAAGACACGCTATATCTAGACAATCTTACGAAAAAAATAGGGGACTGTGAACAGTCTGTGTTTAATTGAATAGTATTTACAACAAAGGTCTGGTTGTATGACTTTTCACAAATAATTATTGTGGTCCTGAAAAGAAATTTGAACTCGTTCAAAACAGTGATCCAAGCTCTCTCTTTTTTTCAAATTCGCCTTTGGGTGACCTAAAATTATATAATGGTCACCAGACATAACAAATAATTGGTGGCCTGAAAAAAAGCACATTAATAGCAAAGGGTTTGAAATGATGAAATGGCTGCCTAACTATCACAATATTGTATTAAATAAATTACATGCAACATCTGAAACCCTAAGCTTGGACAAAGAGGGTTAAAGAGTTTAATTTGAAAGAAAAATGGCGCATAAATGATACTAATAATACTAAATAATAATAATAATAATAATAATAATAATACCAAACTTTTGTCTACTCACCATGGCAACCAAAATGAACTCAGCTTAGAGCACTACAAAATAATGATAAGTTGTTAGTTTAATATCTTATAATAGGATCAATGAGTATGGCTGTATTGTCGAAGTTAGAGTGACATTTTGTTGCTTGATAACAAAAAAAGTCTGCATTCTTAAACACCAGATGTCACCGCTGGATTTTGTTGATCAAGTGTCATATTTGAACTAACTGACAATGCAGAAGCAAAAGCACCCAAGGAAATGATTAAAAGCACATGCTATCCAGAAAAGGCTTGATTCAAACAAAGCACCAGCAGAAATACAGTGGTCAAACTGGTACAAAAAAGGGTAGAAAGCGAATTCTGTTTGCCTGTTTCTACTTACTGTAAGGACAAGCGTATTTATTGTAGTAGCATTTAAAAAAGGGAAAAACTAAGAATTGATAGACGTTTTGCGTTTTAGACGAAGCAAGCCTTTGACTTTTGGTTAATGTTCTCTCTTTAGTTGAATCTTTATTGTTGCATATAGGAGTGACTTCAAAACGAATTTGACATTAGTCCATTTTACAGTTACAGGTGGAAACGAGGCAGAAGTTGACCTTGCTTTGATAATTTTGTTCTTACTGTAACTAGTATTTTTAACCCATTCGCTCCTAGAGATTTTGCCGAAAAACGCGTTTTGAAGCTAGTCGAGTGGTTTTCTGGTCACTGTCGTGCTATAAAGAGCTAAAACTTACCACAAACTGGTTTACAGGTCGAACACTTCGCGGCCTTGTGATCCAGATGCAAAATATCAGCTTGCGAAGTTCGGGCATGGGCAGAAAGCAAAATTTCGAGATTGGGTTTAAAAGTGACACAGCAGTCTTGACTTCTACTTTTCGCTTTCTCTCCTCCCTTCTTTTTTCGCTTTTCTTGCCTCATTTTTTTTTTCTCTTGCTGGGCATTTAGTGGGCTTCATTTTGGTGGGAAGAGTTTTTAGGAAAGCTTTTAGGATCTTAGGATTAGGTGAAAGGAAAGGTAGGTGGGTAATGGAACAAGATTTTCAGGTCAATGACCCGTGGTTTTTTGCTTGTTTCTCCGGTGTCCTTGACTGAATTGTGCTCATTCTGGTATGGTTTGAAAGATCTCTTCACTCTGCACAAGTTAGCGAAGAAAGTTGTCCTTGACCGTTAAAACTGATGACGTCACAATGGGTAGAAAGGACCTGGATCCGCACGGGCGGTTACGGGCGGTTCAGCGGCGAATGGGTTAAGCATAATTTCCATAAGAAAAGGAAATAGGTTTGTATCAAACAAGGTCAACTCAGCTTCACGTTCACTCAGAGGTTAGGATACGAAGCTCATTACTGTAAAATGGTATTTTTTCTTTCGACCAAATAAATTAATCACATAATTACATTTGGGTTTGGTATTTTAGTTCGTTTATCTCTTATTTTAACTATATATCAGTTAATTTTTCATATAGCAATTTAACTAGCCTGCGTAGCAAGCGTTTTCGTTTGTTTTCGGAGCAAAGAAAGACCGAGGAACGAGAGTTTCGGTATAGCAAAGCGCCCGTTTTCCAAAAATAGATTACATATTTCTGGAGCCCACGCGAGACTCAGACAAACATTGGCGTTTCAAAGAGGAAAAGAGGGCATTTAGGCAAAGTTTTTGAGTCAAAAAAGGCGTTTTTAGGCCTTTACTTTTGTTCAGTGTCAGGCGTTATTGTTGGAGCCATGCAAAAGGGATTCTAGGTATCCAGGAAAGCTACACAGATCTTTGAAAGAAATACTGAATTCGATTGTGAAAATATCTGTTACCCCTGTCGAATGTCACGGAAGCCATTGCAAGAATTTGACCGCTGTCAAGGCTCGATTAATTAACGCTTGTTCTCGTGAAAATTTTACGGTCGATAATATTACCAGAAATACAAACGCTTGTGGATTTTACTGGCTAGACGAAGGGTATTTTACCAGTCGAATGCGTCTATCGAACAAACTAAACACGATTTTGACCAGATCGAAACACGAGGATCAGTTAAGGTTCGAAAAAAAGTAAGCATGCACAACTGTTCAGCAAACTGCCTTTAAGAGGCAAGAACTAAGCAATCAATCGAAATGATAAATGATTTTCTTCACTTTACATATATAGGCTTATCATTCTGAAGAATGAACTTAATTAAAAGCAAGTGGTAACGTCCCTCTATGTAGTTAGGGACGGGCCATTAGAAAATTTATGGGGGTTGCGGGGGGGG